GCCCCGCCTCCTTCTCTGATGCTGACCCCCGGGCCCCGCCTCCTCCTCCCCGCTACGTCCAGCCTCCTCCACCGCCGCTGCTGACTCTCATTGACTCGGCAGCGGCTATGGAGAAGAACGCAGCGCTGCACAGATCACGGTGATCTGAACAGCGGCACGTTCGAACCCATAGCAACCCAGGCGGCCCGCACGGCATCAGGGGGGTGTCCTAGCCGGGCCCCCCTGTGCCCGGGCCCCATAGCGGCCACCTGGGTCGCTATGGCTATTGTTACGCCACTGGTAGACATGTAAACTGAGGAAAAGTTCGGTTCAGTTCGGATATTTCGGGATTCGGATCTGAAATTTAAATTCGGTTCGGGTTTTGGATTCGGACGAAATCCGGATTTTCGTTAGTTTCGGATGAGTTCACGAATATTTGTTTTGCGAATATCACAGAAAACCAGATACAGATATTAATGCCACAGCTGAAGCTCCCAGAACCCGAATGGCATTCGGTAGGGATGTACCGATACCGGTATTTGGGTATCTAGTACGAGTACAGATATTTTTTTTATGGTACCGAATACCGATACCGGAAGTCCCATTCAGGAAGTGCAGGCGGCGTGTAAAGACTCGACACCAGGCTTCCCGATTAGCAGGGAAGCCGTCCCCATGCTTGTCGTCACTAGGTGACGAGGGGGCATGGAGCCGGCTATCTGGCCAATCAGGAAGCCTGGTGCTGTGTAATGACGCGGCGCCCGGCTTCCTGATTGGCCGGGAAGTAGGGGGTAGAGCATATTGATGAGGGGGTAGAGGGCAGGGGTAGAGCATATTGCTGAGGGGGTAGAGGGCAGGGGGTAGAGCATATTGATGAGGGGGTAGAGGGCAGGGGTAGAGCATATTGCTGAGGGGGTAGAGGGCAGGGGGTAGAGCACATGGATGAGAGGGTAGAGGGGAGGAGCCAGGGAAGGGCGACATTAAGCAGATTGAACTTAAGCTTCAAACTATAAGAAAGGGAAAGTGAAGCCGACCCCAGAACACTTCCCGCTTTCCTTTTCATGGTTCCGTACTCCACACTTGTCCTTCTCTGATTATCATCCGGAACGGCCTCCGGAGAAGCAGAAATGTGATGGGAATCGTCATCTTCTCATCCGTGAGCCTCAGAGAGATGAATTTCCTCTGACGCCAGGCGGGCGGCTCCTCTAATGAAGCGGGTTTGTTCTTCGGCGCACAAAAGCGGCACATGTCTCAGAGCGGAGAGGAGCACGCAGGATCGTTAATAAGAGGATAAAACGTTGCTGAGAAGAGGCTGAGAATCAATCGCGGCGGGGTAACGTCCCCCACTTCGCGCTGACTCAGAGCCTCGGCCGACACATTTCCCTCCAACGTCATCATATGTGACGTATGTTCTCTTCTTCTAATCGCCTTTCCTGCGGGGACACTGACTCGGCTCGGGGACACTGACCCGGCTCTTCCCTCCCACTCCCACAAGTGATAGAAATGTAACACAAAAAGATACAAAAATATCAACAACCTGCCCAGTGAGTGCATTGAACGTGTCTACATGGCGAGTTGGCCTCTTTTTATGGTACTCGGCCTCTTCTGTGGAGCTCAGCTGCCTCTGTAGTGCTCGGCCTCTTATCTGTTGTTCGGCCTCCTATGTGGGTATCTCTTCTGGGTTTTTTTTTTTAAAATAGAGTTCTTGGCCTCCTTCCGTGGTGCTCAGCCTCTACGGTGGTGCTCAGCTTTTTCTGTAGCGCTCACGCTCTTATTTCATCCTCAACCTCACCGGTGGTGCTTTGCTCCTCCCTGTGGTGTCCATCGTTTTCTGTAGAACTTGGCCTCCTCTAGGCCTTTTGAGTGGTGCTCAGCCATTTCTGTATTGCCCAGTGTCTTCAGTGGTGCTTAGCCTCCTGCGCTCCTGTGGTGCTCGGTATCTTCTTTAGTGCTTGGTCTTCTCTGTGGTGCTTGACCTCTTCTGTAATGTTTGGCCTTCTCTGTTTTGCTCATTCTCTTATTTGACATTGACCTCCTCTATGAAGGTCAGTCTGTTCTTTAGGACACTTCTGTACTGCTTAGTCTTTTCTGTACTGATTGGCCTCCTCTGTGGTGTTCAGCCTCTTCTGTGGTGCTTGGCCTCTTCTATGGTACTCAGTGTCCTCTGTAGTGCTGGGCCTCTTCTGTGGTGCTTGGCCTCCTCTGTGGGTATCTATTCTGGGTTTCTTCATAGAGTTCTTGACCTCTTCTGTTGTGCTCAGCCTCTCAGGGCTCGATCTCTTCTGTACTGATTGGCCTCCTCTGTGTTGCTCGGCCTCCTCTGTGGGTATCTATTCTGGGTTTCTTCATAGAGTTCTTGGCCTCTTCTGTTGTGCTCAGCCTCCTAGGGCTCGATCTCTTCTGTACTGCTTAGTCTTCTTTGTACTGATTGGCCTCCTCTGTGGTGCTTGGGCTCTTCTATGACACTCAATCTTTTCTGTGTCACTCAGCCTCCTCTCAGACACTGGGTCTGTTCCTCTCCAGCCTCCAGTCTTTTTTTTTTTCTGGTGGCACTCTGTCTGTTTAGATTGGTGATGACCTCTGTGGACACCATTGATGTTAGGGTCATGTCTATGATGGCTTTCCAGGCTGGAATAGTCAATATCCCGGGAGACCTTTCCCCATTTTCCCGGGACCTGCATCAGAAGTTTCCTCATCAGGGAAGCCGCGGTTGCCCCGATCAATGGGAATCTATTGTATGATGTCTGAGCGCCCCTCATTCGTATGGCGAGTTTTGCTGAATGAGCCTCCTGGAGGTCACACCTCGCCATCAATCCGCTATGACACCTTCTGCAGCTCAGTGGGACCTGATCCCCCATCATACAATGTTGCAGAATGTCTCTATGATGAGGAAGTGACGGATAACCCCGGGATCTATCTGCAGGGAGCAGGAAGATGATCCGAGTGCAGATAAAGGGACATTGGGAACCTCGTATGGGAGGTCTGATGATAGGTGATCCCCAATGTCACCCCTCAGTAGGGTGCCCAACCCCCCTCCTTGGCCACTTTCATCCTTCTGCGAGTCACCTCCGCGCTGGGAAAGAGCAAAATCCAATATGTCTGATCCGGAACGTCAGGAAAGTCGCCAAAGAATCCGGAACATGGAAGAGATTTCAGATGCAATTAAGGACAACAGGAAGTTCCACCAACATTGTGTCAGCTGCAGATCTCTCTGGTTGTGTTCTGTGGCTGTTGGTGGCTGGGTGGAATGTTCATCTCTGCGGATTCGTGGTCATCGGAGGTTTGTGACGTAGTGGGAGGGGCTTCTAAGGGGAACCTGTGCTGCTGTAAGTCAATTGCTCGGGAGCTGAGCTACATTTACATTGTGACCATTTATAACACGACCATTTATGAGGAGATCATTTATAACATGACCATTTATAATACGACCGTTTATAATACGACCATTTATAACATGACCATTTATAACAAGACCATTTATAACATGACCATTTATAACAAGACCATTTATAATATGACCATTTATAATACGACCATTTATAACAAGACCATTTATAACATGACCATTTATAACAAGACCATTTATAATATGACCATTTATAATACGACCATGTATGAGGAGATCATTTATAACAAGACCATTTATAATATGACCATTTATTGTACATCGTGACCATCAATAATGTGACCATTTACAACGTGATAATTTAGGACATGACCTGTCACAACAGGGGCTCATGAAAAGTCCTTTGATCCGGACTAATTAGGGGGTGATGAGGCCTCCACATTCCTTCTTTTTGTTAAATGCGGCAACTTCCCCGGCTTCCTAAACACAGACAGGAGAATGTAATCTGAGCGTCTTCTTACCATCTTTTCAATTTTAGGACAAATGTGGGTGGCACTGTGTTCAACGCCCCTCCCCCATTCTCTCCACACAGATCAGGGTCTGTCAGACCTCATTATTGTAACTTTCCCTTTAAATGCAGGCTTGTGCGGAGGTCACATGGGCACTGCGGATGCCTCATAATGGAGAATTCAGATTTAATCCGCTCATTTAAAGGAGCGGCGCGGCTAAGCCGATGACAAAAAAAACCCTCAAATTCGTTACATTGTATTATTTCCTTATTATTTTCCTCTTTTTTGGAATCCCCTCCCCCGACAACCTTTAACCGTTGCCAATACTGCGCTCCTTTCACGGGCCTTCGCCCTTTTTTCTGTCGCGCTGCTTCCACTAATCTCCTCTCCCGTCCGTCCCTCTTCGATTGCGACTCCTTGAAACCTCTCAGCGCTCGCGTCTCCCCCGCCGCGTCCATGAAAGCGCCGCAAACTCGGCAATGTTTCGTAAAGGTTTTGCATGTTGTCAGTTCAGCCTCCCCGCGGCATCAGATACCGAGAATGAAATGACACCCGGCGTACAGGACAAGAGAAGTGGTACTGTGCAGAGTCCGTACAAACATGCCGGTTGCCATTCTCGGTATCTGTGCAGAGCGCATACATAGAGGATAAGAACAGATACCGAGAATGACACCCGGCATACAGGACAAGAGAAGTGGTAGTGTGCAGAGTCCGTACATACAGAATTGGAACAGATACTGAGATTGACACCCGGCATACAGGACAAGGGAAGTGGTACTGTGCAGAGCCCATACATACAGAATTGGAACAGATACTGAGATTGACACCCGGCATACAGGACAAGGGAAGTGGTACTGTGCAGAGTCCATACATACATGCCGGGTGTCATTCTCAGTATCTGTCCTTATTCTGTATGTATGGACTCTGCTCAGTACCACTTCCCTTGTCCTGTATGCCAGGTGTCATTCTTGGTATCTGTCCTTATTCTGTATGTATGGACTCTGCTCAGTACCACTTCCCTTGTCCCGTATGCCGGGTGTCATTCTTGGTATCTGTCCTTATTCTGTATGTATGGACTCTGCACAGTACCACTTCTCTTGTCCTGTATGCTGGGTGTCATTCTCGGTATCTGTGCAGAGCCCATACATAGAGGATAAGAACAGATACTGAGAATGACACCCGGCATACAGAACAAGAGAAGTGGTACTGTGCAGAATCCATACATACAGAATAAGAACAGATACTGAGAATGACACCCGGCATACGGGACAAGAGAAGTGGTACTGTGTAGAATCCATACATACAGATTAAGGACAGATACTGAGAAGGACGCCCTGCATACAGCACAAGGGAAGTGGTACTGTGCAGAGTCCATACATACATACCGGGTGTCATTCTCAGTATCTGTTATTATACTTTATGTATGGACTCTGCACAGTACCACTTCCCTTGTGCTGTATGGCGGGCGTCATTCTCGGTATCTGTGCAGAGCCCATACATACAGAATAAGAACAGATACTGAGAATGACACCTGATAGACGGGACAAGAGAAGTGGTACTGAGCATCGTCTATATATACAGAACTGTGGTAATTGATTCTGATATTTCTTTTCTTGGCGCAGGTTTTGGACTTTGAGCGGGTTCAGGAATATCGTCTCGCGGTGGCGGTGAAGAACGCGGCGGATCTCGTCGGCGCAGAGTACGGCTCCTCCTCTACGGCCTCCATTGTCATCGCTGTCGGGAATGTGAATGAGCCTCCGATCTTCGCAGTGGAGAAATATGAAGCCCGAGTACCAGAAAACACTCCGCCCGGAGTGCTCATCCTCACCGTGTCCGCCTCCGATCCCGATATCCGCCACCAGACCAGACTGAGGTAAGCGGTCAGCCGCCTGGACTGGCGGCTGTAGGTGGGCACACCAGGCGGAGGTCTATGAGTTCTTATCCCGCTGTGCCCATGTATAAGGTCACTCCACCCAGGGCCTGAAAGATGTCAGATCGGCGGTACTGTGTAATGCGTTATTATATATCCCCGTCATGTGATTATTATTGGGGCGCGGTGTCGGTGTTTATATTTCGTGGATACATTTCATCATTATGTAACAAACATGTAACTTGAGATTCACCCGAAGGATCCGCTCGCCCGTCACCAACTTCACAAAAATACAAAAACAAATATGAACAGAGAATATTCGCCGCCACAAAGTGTTCAATTTCCATCGACCCGAACTAAATAAAGATCCCCTCCCCCGCCGCCCGAGCCAGAAATATTTACAATTCCCGATCAATAGTTCTGTGTTTGTCCAACCGAGACCCATGTGACCGGCTCAGCGTTCTCTGTACAGCGCTGCGGTATATGTCAGAGCTATATACATGTATAATGATAGTGTGTGACTGTGGGGGATACATTAGAGTGTAAGCTTGTGGGGGGGACATTAGAGTGTAAGCTCCTCTGTACAGAGACTGATGTGACTGTGGGGGAGGAGACAGAGTGTAAGCTCCTCTGTACAGAGACTGATGTGACTGTGGGGGGGACATTAGAGTGTAAGCTCCTCTGTACAGAGACTGATGTGACTGTGGGGGGGAGGGGACATTAGAGCGTAAGCTCCTCTGTACAGAGATTGATGTGACCGGCTCAGTGTCCTCTGTACAGCGCTGCGGTATATGTCAGAGCTATATAGCACAGTCTGATGTTTCCTTGCCATCTATGTCACAGGTTCAGCATCGGAGGTGACGACAGGAATTGGTTGTCCATTGATGAGGATTCCGGGGAAATTCGGCTGCGGCATTCGGTGGACAGCGAGCAGTATGGCGACACTTACAACGTCTCGGTCCTGGCGCGGGAGGCGGGTAGGTACCCAGTCATGTGATTCGTTAACCCTTTACTGTCTGAATGTAGAGCAGATACAACAATAGACATTCTTTCCAGAACCCGACATCTTGAAAGGTTTCTGGGCTGGTGAATCTGAAACCATTCGCCTATATTGGGCAGGATCGGGGCGCAATTCGCCGGTGCTGGACTCTTCATACCCAGGAGGTGTCACATTTTGGGGGGGGATATGCTGTTGCTCCTCATTGGGGTCGATGCGTTTTATAAATCCAGCAGATCTTCCGCTGAACCTTCATAGAAGCGTCACACAGGTCTTTGTCCGCCATGTGAATACGTCCCTTTGACCTCCACGACAGGTTCTCTTTAACAAAGAACTCCGGTGGAGGTTTTTTTTGTACGCTCCAAAAATAGCGCCCATCCCGCCGGGACCTTTAATAGTTTAATATTTTATTTTGGGACGATGACTCACGATGGTGAACCTGAATCACCTTGCAGGCAAGTTCCCTCCGTTAACCCTTCCATGCCAGAGCTCATCAGCGCAGGCTCCGCGGAAAGGAGACCGGGCCCGGGAAGGGTTAACGGTGCCGGCCGGGCCGCTGATCTAATGTAGAGTGAGTGGCAGCTTGTTTATTGCAATGAGTCGTTCCAGATGATTCATGAATCCATGATGTCATCCGGCGCTACATCTCGGTATAATGAGGCGACTTCGGCTCCCTCCCGGACCTGACGGGTAATTGCTGTTTAGCTGCCGCGCTCAATCACGTCTCACGCTGGTGGGATGAGCTGGACTGCTCCTGACCTTAAAGGAGAAAGGACGGCTGTTTCTGTACCTCCAGGGGCCGGGTCTGTCCTGCAGCACGTCGCACCCAGCGGATCGCGGCCCTCTGGGGGTGTGCGCGCACTGGCATGCATTGGTGTGGATGTCAGTGTGCGCACACCCCCAGATGCACCTGACCATAGTCAAAAAGGCCACGACTCCCTCCATGTCCAGAGTGCTTGCCCAGTGCGATGGACTTGAACTCCTTCCCTTAGTGCGGTGACTTGCTGACTCTTTGCTCATTCATGACTACATTTGCCTGCTGCCTACCTTGACCTCTGCCTAGACATTGACCATTTTTGTCTGCCGCCTACCCTGACTTCTGCCTAGACATTGACCATTCTTGTCTACCACCTGCCCCGACCTCTGCCTAGACATTGACCATTCTTGTCTACCACCTGCCCCGACCTCTGCCTAGACATTGACCATTCTTGTCTACCACCTGCCCCGACCTCTGCCTAGACATTGACCATTCTTGTCTACCACCTGCCCCGACCTCTGCCTAGACATTGACCATTCTTGTCTACCACCTGCCCCGACCTCTGCCTAGACATTGACCATTCTTGTCTACCACCTGCCCCGACCTCTGCCTAGACATTGACCATTCTTGTCTACCACCTGCCCCGACCTCTGCCTAGACATTGACCATTCTTGTCTACCACCTGCCCCGACCTCTGCCTAGACATTGACCATTCTTGTCTACCACCTGCCCCGACCTCTGCCTAGACATTGACCATTCTTGTCTACCACCTGCCCCGACCTCTGCCTAGACATTGACCATTCTTGTCTACCACCTGCCCCGACCTCTGCCTAGACATTGACCATTCTTGTCTACCACCTGCCCCGACCTCTGCCTAGACATTGACCATTCTTGTCTACCACCTGCCCCGACCTCTGCCTAGACATTGACCATTCTTGTCTACCACCTGCCCCGACCTCTGCCTAGACATTGACCATTCTTGTCTACCACCTGCCCCGACCTCTGCCTAGACATTGACCATTCTTGTCTACCACCTGCCCCGACCTCTGCCTAGACATTGACCATTCTTGTCTACCACCTGCCCCGACCTCTGCCTAGACATTGACCATTCTTGTCTACCACCTGCCCCGACCTCTGCCTAGACATTGACCATTCTTGTCTACCACCTGCCCTAACTGCTACCTGTGCATTAACCGTTCTTGCCTGCTGCCTGCCCCAACCTCTGCCTGGAGATTGACCATTCTTGCCTGCTACTTGCCCCAACCTTTGCCTGTACACACCAGAATCCTACACCCAGAAACCTGCCCCTGAAAAACTGCACCCAGAAACCTGCCCCAGGAAACCTACACCTGGAAACCACCTGAAAACCTACACCCAGAAACCTTCATCTGGAAACCTGCCCCCGAAAACCTGCACCCAGAAACTTGCCCCCAGAAACCTGCACCCAGAAACTTGCCCCCAGAAACTTGTCCCCAGAAACCTGCCTCCTTCAACAAAAAGAAATCCTTAAAGGGGAAGCCAACAAAAAGAAATCCTTAATGGGGGAGTCAACAAAAAGAAATCCTTAAAGGGGAAGCCAACAAAAAGAAATCCTTAATGGGGGAGTCAACAAAAAGAAATCCTTAAAGGGGAAGCCAACAAAAAGAAATCCTTAATGGGGGAGTCAACAAAAAGAAATCCTTAAAGGGGAAGTCAACAAAAAGAAATCCTTAAAAGGGAAGCCAACAAAGAAAAATCCTTAAAGGGGAAGCCAACAAAGAGAAATCCTTAAAGGGGAAGTCAGTTAAAAGAAATCCTTAAAAGGGGAAGCCAACAAAGAGAAATCCTTAAAGAGGAAATCAGCAAAAAGAAATCCTTAAAAGGGAAGCCAACAAAAAGAAATCCTTAAAAGGGAAGTCAACAAAAAGAAATCCTTAAAGGGGAAGCCAACAAAGAGAAATCCTTAAAGGGGAAGCCAACAAAAAAATCCTTAAAGGGGAAGTCAATAAAGAGAAATACTTAAAGGGGAAGTCAACGTTTTCACATCAAATAATAAAAAAAATGAGAACAAGGAAATGATTATTATCAGCGTGATCAATAACGTTTTATTGTCATCGATTCCGAATCCTCCTCGTACTATTTTTATTATTATTTTACATCTAAGAAGTTTTTATTGGTTTTCCATTTATTGTTTTTTTTAGATGTTTGATAGATATTTTTCTCTTTCTTTTTCACGTTTTGGCTCCGGAGTGCAACCGCCGAAACGCGTTGGCATTTGTAAACAATTTGTCTTTGGAATAAACTTGTATCTGGAATTGTAGATTACGGTGCGATGCTTCAATACTAGACTCTCGCCCACACACATGCATCATCTAGCCCTTTCCTTCCCCAGCCGGACCGTCCCTGGGCCCCACCCCTTTCATTCATTGGATTTAAACTCTGTCAATTATGGGGGTTCGGCATCACATGTGGGCGTGACCTAGGGCGGTGTGCATGCAAATACAGCCTGCCTAGGAACGCCCACTCCTCCAGACTGACACCCACTCATCAGAAACATTTAACATTTGCATAACTCCTCCCAAGAGCCAGCCCACTGCTTGCATCAGGGCTCTTGGGAGGAGGCAGGGTGATGTGATGTTTTCAGGAAGCTATGCACAGCACCCTCCCCCCAGCCATGACCTGCCTGCATTGCATAAAGGAGCACAGAGACCCAGTGATGACATCATTGGGAATAAAGCAAAATATGTCATTTATTGATGTAATTATCATGTTGATGGGGGGAGGGGGGGGGCGGGGACGGTCACATACAAGAAGATTGAGGCTCATCCGTCAGTCCTCCCCTCTTCGGGTTCTGTTCTGGTAATAAATTCTCCTTACATATACAGTTTATTTTCTGTCCGCGGTCTGTCTGCTGCGCGCCGTTTTGTTTTCATTGTGGAGACGTAGCCGAGTAGAAGGATTTTTATATTGTGAGCGCGGTCAGATGAATGAGGCGAGCGCGCGGGGGAGGGCGATGGGGGGGCGGGATGGAAGAGCTTAACCCCGTCACTGCCGGAGAAACGTTTTATATAAAATACGCAAATTCCCGACAAAGAGACATCAGACGTAACAGAAAGCAATGCACTCTTCCCCTCCCCCACCCAATACCAATAGCAACCAATTCCTAGTACACAGATCTCAGTATCTGCTCTTATCCTGTATGTATGGACTCTGCACAGATACCGAGAATGACACCCGGCATACAGGACAAGAGAAGTGGAACTGTGCAGAGTCTATACATGCAGTATAAGAACAGATACCGAGAATGACACCCGGCATGTATGTATGTATGGACTCTGCACAGTACCACTTCTCTTGTCCTGTATGCTGGGTGTCATTCTCGGTATCTGTGCAGAGTCCATACATACAGGATAAGAATAGATACTGAGAATGAGGCCCAGTCTCCGCTGGGAGAGGATCATGCTCTGCTTCAGTATGTCACAGTGCATGTTGGCATTCATGGTTCCCTCAATGAACTGTAGTCCCCCAGTGCCGGCAGCACTCATGCAGCCCTGGACCATGACACTCCCACCACCATGCTTGACTGTAGGCAAGAAACACTTTGTACTCCTCACCTGGTTGCCGCCACACACGCTTGACACCATCTGAACCAAATAAGTTTATCTTGGTCTCATCAGACCAAAGGACCTGTTTCCAGTAATCCGTGTCCTTAGTCACTTCAGCTTGTCTTCAGCAAACTATTTGCAGGCTTTCTTGTGCATCATCTTTAGAAGAGGCTTCCTTGCCATAGTCATTGGTGGCATCTACAGGTCACTGCACCATAGTCATTGGTGGTATCTACAGATCACTTTGCCATAGTCATTGGTGGTATCTACAGATCACTGCACCATAGTCATTGGTGGTATCTACAGATCACTGCACCATAGTCATTGGTGGTATCTACAGATCACTGCACCATAGTCATTGGTGGTATCTACAGATCAATGCACCATAGTCATTGGTGGTATCTACAGATCACTGCACCATAGTCATTGGTGGGATCTACAGATCACTGCACCATAGTCATTGGTGGGATCTACAGATCACTGCACCATAGTCATTGGTGGGATCTACAGGTCACTTTGCCATATAGTCATTGGTGGGGTCTACAGATCACTGCACCATAGTCATTGGTGGGATCTACAGGTCACTTTCCATAGTCATTGGTGAGATCTACAGATCACTGCACCATAGTCATTGGTGGCATCTACAGATAACTGCACCATAGTCATTGGTGGGATCTACAGGTCACTTTGCCATAGTCCTTGGTGTGATCTACAGATCACTGCACCATAGTCATTGGTGGGATCTACAGGTCACTTTGCCATAGTCATTGGTGGGATCTACAGATCACTTTCCATAGTCATTGGTGGTATTTACAGGTCACTTTGCCATAGTCATTGGTGGCATCCACAGATCGCGTAGACCATGTAGGACCATGAATGACCAAGTATGAACATGTATGGTCTATGTCTTGTTTTGTCTGTTGATTAAGAGAGAATTATAATGCTTTTGCTTCACTTTTATTTGGTTTTATGTTTTTTAATTTAGGTCAAATATTGATTCCTAATTATTGATATATTTTTTCCAGAAAACATAATCATTTCATGCAATGTGTTCCCGTAACTCACAGAAGCTGTTTGCCTTCAGACTGTCTCTTTTCATTTCTGTATACTTAGCCTGCAGTCAATGCATCTGGTGTGAACGAGGCCGAGGGTCTAATTTCCCTGAACAGTGATAGTCCCACACTGATGAGACCCAGTAAGGTGAAGCCGGACTGTTCTCAGGTCCATATTGAGATGTAGGAAGGACGCATATTAATGAATAAACTTGGCTGGTTGGGGCATAATTGAACGGTGCAGCATTGACAAGACTTGTCTATTCACACAGAAAACACCACGACAGCCAATCAGATTCCAGAGCAGGTTAGACAATGAATGGATCTATGGGTAAGACTGGGAGTTGTAGGGTTCTGATGCTGAATTCAGTCTTATCTCTCCTACACTATCTTCAGCTATCCCGCTGAGCCCTGACAATGCTAATTACTAATAAAATTGGGTAAAATAAAAATTCTGCAATAAACTGAAAGGTCAGAGAACTGACGTGAGCTCAGGGTTGGGGAGTGATGGTGGTGGAGCAATTAAAGGGGGGGGGGGGGCCCCGGGGGGCCCCCGGTACAGCTGCCCCCTCTTCACACCTTTATTTTTGGTCTAGAAAGAGCCAGATGGTTGTTACGGGAATGAAGATATTTTCCCTTCACTTTTGGTCCCCACGGCACTGTAACCCGCTGACGATCTCTTTCAGGTGACGGGGGTCTGTCGGCCTCGGCGGTTGTCGTGATCCGTATCCTGGACGTCAACGACAACATTCCGATCCTAACCGGAGACTACAGCAGCGAATATTTCTGCACCCCGAGAAGGGAGGAGCAGAGAACAATCATCCGGGCGTTCGACGGGGATTCCCCGGAGAACGACGCCCCCATCGCGTTCAGCTTACCCAACGACGCGGCCCTGCGGAGCCAATGGATGCTGACCGCCATTAACGGTACCTACATCATCTACAACGGTCCAGTGTTACAGTGTATCCAAAGGCGACTTTCTTATTAGTTTTGGGTGAAGTGGGGAATGATTAAAACCCCTGTTTTTTTAATTTTTCCTGTGTCCCATCGGGGAGATTTCTCTTCATTAACCCTTTCACACTCGCCTTTCGCGGTCTATAATAGCCGATCGTAGGGTTCTGGGACGCGTGACAGCGCGCTGGTTCAGAGAAACATTTATAAGAGCGAATAGGAAACAATGTTTCAGCTCCAAAATGTCAACCAGGATGAAAGGGGTTAAGGGCTAAAAATAACCTCTCTATATATTTAGCGGTCACACAGCGGCGGTAATCCCCGTGTCAATAAATGCCGCGCACTTAAAATCCAGCAAACAGCAATAACGGCGTGGAGCGAGACCATTAAGGGTTGTAATATTGAGTCAGAGCATGTGGTGTTTCCCCCGGTCAGTAATTCGATTCTCCTGTTATTAACCGGCAGGGACGCACGCTTATCTGTCGATGAGGAGCCGCCAACTGGAGCCCAAAGTCCACCGCGTGCCCATCGTCATCACCGACAGCGGGGCGCCGCCTCAGAGCAAACATGTGCCCATCACAGGTACCGAGTCCAGGAGGCTTCTGGGTAATATATGCCGAATAGAGCTTTGATTCAGTGGGGGAAGGAGGGTTTAGCAAACTTCATGGTTGTTCAGCCTTGTAAAGAGAACCTGTCAGGACAGTGGTTTCCTGCTAAAATGTAGGAGGACCAAAAGTAGGAGGACCAAAAATCCATACAACATCCCTACACGTTTCAGGGCTCTAACATGCCTCTTCTTCAGGGCCCATAAGTCTTAAAACCTGCCCAAAACAGCTATGTGAGGATGGAATGTTTTTGAACTTGCCAGGATGCCATTGCCTGTTTCTTGGCTCTAGTTTCAAGGCAGAACCTGTCACTCGATGCCGCTGAGGCGGGGCCGGTGCTGGATATTTTGCACCCCGGGTAAGACCGGCTACTTACCCCCCAATCCCCCACTCTGCGCGTGCTGCTCCATTCTCCTGCCAGCAAACTTCCACAGGTGATAGTTGGATGTAAGCAGCCGTGACAATAGCCAGACTGCTATTGGCTATTTTATTTGAAATAGCCAATAGCAGACTGGCTATAGAAACACCAGCAACTGAGCCGAGGAGCGAACCTGACAGAGAAAGTTGTCTTTCAGTTCCGCTCCTCTACTCAGTGGGCAGGTGCAAGAGCAAGCCTGCTATTGGCTTTTACAATTTGAAATAGGGGGGGGGCACCGTGAGGGGGTAAGTGGTCGAGGCTGCGCCCTAGCCAGCAGTGCGCCCTAGGCGACTGCCTAGTTTGCCTAGTGGCAGCACCGGCCCTGCGCTGAGGGTGCCGCCCGCCCTGTAACTAACAAAATACAGCACAATGCACTTTATCCTCCTCTGGTTGGCCCGCGGCAGTGCGTTACGGAGACAAGCTAATGACCCTGGCAGGCTGGGTAGTGATTCCATGACCGAAGCAGTACAGAAGACACGTGACGGGTGTTTTTGTATATTCGCCCGGAGAAGTTTAATAACAATATTCTAATTATAGCGCGCTGCGAGCGCAGGCGCCCGTACATCTTCTGCTGAGCTACGGCTGTTTATCTTGTGAGCGCAGCGGCGACTGCTGGACACCCCCGCGGCCGCTTGTCTCATGAGACCCACAGAGCCAACATATGGGGATAAATATAACTGTATGAGGACGTATAGGACAATCTCCACCAGGAGGGGGGGGGGGGGGGGCCA